CCGTGCCAGCCCTTACGTGTGCACTGCATTAAAATTAAAACCACACAAAAAATAAGGGATAGAGGGATGGCCATTAAATGGTTTTTGGGGCAACCCAACAAATTGAACGGAGATTACTTTGATTGGGACCGAGCGTAACAATCGATTCGAGCTCCTGTATTCCTGTGGGGGACCTGCGGCCGAAATGTATTCGATTGTTGGAACAAATTTAAGTCTATTTCTGGTGCTGGTCAGTGACAATGGTCGTGACAATGGCCGTGGGGTTCGGCGATGCGATTAGAGTGAGCTTCTGTTGGCAATCGATTCGATTGCATTCATCAGAGCCCACACATTGATAATTTGTGTAATGCATTCGATGCCGAGCCGAATGGCTAGAGTTGCCGAACATTTTCAGTTCAGGAAGAGCTACGACGATTCGATGGAAGTCGATTGTTGTTACAATTGAATGAAGTGAAGGAATGAAGGACGTTGGAGGGTGGTTGATGGAGAACATATTGCTTTTGAGCAACCATTTAAATCAAGTATCGCTTGATGTACAGTAGATCAGTCGATCAGTATCGATAAGTAGTCGCTGATCGTTTCGATAACCACGCTGTTCGTTATCCTTTCTCAATGGGAATCGATCAATGAATAGCATTTGAGGTGCGCTCTTATTACAGACATTTCCGTGCCCACCACCACATCCCGCAATCCTTGACACATCTACCATCTATCAGCCACTTCTTTAGCGCACTTGAGACATTCGAGAAAGTTTCGCCTTTGGCGAAGTTTTTAAATTGCGCGCTTAACAAGTTTCCCCCATTAGACCATGCCCCCCGTCGTCTCCATCTGCTTACGTGCTGTGTTTGGCTTTATCCTTAGTTTTCTTCCATTTCGGATAATAAACGACTCAAAGTTTCAAATAGCGGAACATGCTTAAAATGCCTGACGTGCACACAATCATTCTCCTCAGCCATTCATTCATTCAGCCCTTTGGCCCTCGACCCCCACTTCAATGCTCCTTTGCCACCTTTGCCGCCGTTGCCACCTTTTCCCAGTCAGCAGCAACGCCACTGCAAACAGAGCCCCCGCACGGGGGCACAAATGGAACACAACAGCAGCAACAGCAGCAACGTTCTTTATCCATGGGTTGCATGTTGGGCTCTGCACCCGTGAAATGGTTGCCAAAAATAAAAACACAAAAACAGAACGCATCAAACAAGAATGAAAACGAAAAGCAAAAACTACACAAAAAATAAGGCAGCAGCAGAAACACGGAAAACAACAAAATAAAACAAAACGAAAACCCACACAAATTGTGCACGCAACTGGCCAAGGTCAGGCGGGCCAGTCCGTCCGTCCGCCCGTCCGTCCGTCAGTCGTGGCCAGGTGCCTGCTGCCTGGTGTCCCGGCTCTGGGTCCGACTTGGGGCCCCGGCCCAGGCCAACGATTTGCATAACTCGACTCCGCTGCTCTGACCGTGAGGCCCTTTTGCCTTTTGCCTTTTGCCTTTCCCGATCTCCGTCTGACGATTGATTGCATCGGATCCGACACCGAATCAGAGCCGCGGAATCCGTTTCAGCTCTGCGGAAAGTGTGAAATGCAAATCCCCAAAGGAGGGCAGAGGCAGCGGCATGGGCATGCACACCTTTTCGATTCATTCATTCATACTCGTATTCACAACTTTTGCCATTCGAATGCCGTTTGTGACGTCAGCGCGAAATGAGTTTCGCTCTCACCTTGCACTGCTTACATTTCCTGCCATATCCAGGTACGAATATATCCACGTATCCGTTGATGGAATCTTAGAAATGCAACTTTGTAAAGGAAGTTACTTTCAGAATACCTGCACTTTAAGCAAATGTGCATACATTTTTGGGTAGGTAATGGTATTAGTTCTCAGTAAATGAAGTTCCTGTAGGATCTACAATTAAATTCTACATTAAAGACGTACCGTATCTTAAATTTCAAGCACTCAATAGTGTGAGCCATTTCTTTGTCCTCCTGCTGCTTGGAATCCTTTGCCAGCTGCTGACTGGGTCTGTTGATTAACTTGAAGATGCCACACAGTTGCAAGCACATACTCGCACGAGAATGCATGATAGGCATATGCCAGCTTGCATAAGCAGGCAGTCGATGAGGGGCGACTGAGTGACTGAGCGACTGAGCCACTGAGCCACTGAGCGACTGAGTGAGTGTTCATCAGTTCAAGGCTCTCTTCGGCTTCCTTTGTGTCCCTCGAGTGTGTGTGTGTGAGTGTGCCTTAAATTCCTTTCTCCATTAATTCATAAAATTCAGCAGATGATGACGATGATGCTGCTAAAAATAGTCCGAATGACTGGGTGAGGAGGCATGGGGCATGAGGCATGCTTTCTGTCGTTGCCTTGACCGGCATCCACCATCCGCACAGACAGAGAAGACAGAAAAAGAGCTGCACACACACACACACACACACACACACACACACACACACACACACAAACAAACACTCACAGAGATACTCGACGTATCCTAGGACCCAGATCTCAGGGCAAGGCGATTTACGCTTTGATTTTCGGCTTTGCCATTGCATTGAACTTCAGTCTCTCCAACTTGCACTCCACGTTGCAGTGGCAGGTTTCTGCTTTCGGCTTATGCAACATCCACAGCGGCACCTGCCGCACCGCATGCGGAAGTGCACACACAGACGCACACCAGTACATATGTACTGGAGTGTTGTAAATAGGTCGCTGCACCAGCGACTCATCGCAGCGCATCGCATCGACTGGCGGCGGCATGTGGAGAGGAGGCGACAATGACGTCACAGCCGCATCAGGCATCAGCAATTGCCAAAGTGCCGTGCCGCTGACCTATATAAAGCGAGAGAGAAAGAGGACGGAAAAGAGAGATTAAGATAGGGATAGAGGGGGACGACCAGAGGAATGGAAAGTGGCAAGGGAGGGGAAGCAAAGGGAAGGAGCCAAAGCCAGAGAGTAAAAGTATGAATAAAATCCTGACTGACATTTACACTCACACAGATAGATACACAACATAGTTGTACGTGTGTGCATATGGCATACGGCCCTCCCACACACAGGTGCATAAAGAGGCCAAAGAGTAAAATAAATACACAAACACACACACAGTAATACAGTAATACACCTTGGCCAAATTGTTTGTTGACATTCGCAAAGAACGAACTCTGACCGACTTTACCTGATGCCGGCCATTTGAACTCTCTATCTGTGTCCCCCTCTCTACCTCTCTCTCTCTCTCTCTCTCTCTCTCTCTATCGCTTTGAGTGGCTGCCACATGCCACTTCTGACACTAGGCTGAGGCACTTACTGCCCGCAATGCATCGCCATGTTTCGATTGGCCAACTTAAGCATTAGCTGGCAATACTCGTAGCACTAGCATTCCTCGTACATCTCTCTATGCATACTCGTATATCAAATATTCCCTGTGTATCGCGTTGTAATCAAATGGCACTGGATCACGAAAATCATCAAAGCTTTAGCTATACATTTCTATACTGTAGTATAATGGGACTCGGGCATATGATGTTTTTAGATTCATAGGATTATAGCCCACAGATGATATATTTACGAACATCTGATCCCACCGGAAAGAGCCACACGATATAATCGTATGTACATTGTAAAGGGAAAATGCGATTCCGATTCCATGTTTATGTATTCGTTCCCCTTTTGCCTCCTTTTGCCGGACATCTGCCAGAGAGCAGTTTCGACTGTACCGAATACGAGTACATTCCGTATCCATGAGAGCAGAAAAGCAGGGAGGCGAATCGAAGGAAGAAGTGGAGGCAGCGGCAGAGGCCGAGGGAGAAAATTGTATTTTGACAAACAATTTGTACGAGAATGCACTTTGCCCATCGCTCCTTCTAGCCATAACTATCCCCCATACCCATGCCCATACCCATGCCCATCTCTCCCTCTCTTCCCGTCCATATGTTAACCCCTGACAGACCAAAGAGTGGGTGTAGCGACTGCCTGTCGTGCACTTACACGCTTAATTAAATGCCACGGCACGGCGCCAAATACTCAGGCATGTAGCACAGGCAACAGCAATCCTTGCCATACTCGTGCCTGTGCCTCTGCCTGTGCCTCTGCCTGACTAAGGGTCTGGCTGTGGGTCCGCTTCTGGGCCCCGGAAAATTGCCAGCAGCAACCGCAGCAACAATTGCACATTGTCAGCAACATCAGCGATAAAGGACAACCAGAGACGGGGAGTGCAGGGTGCAGGTTGCAGGTTGCAGGTTGCAGGGAGACAGGAGAGGAGGCACGAAGCACGAGGATGGGCACACTGCCAGCTGGGGGGCGGAACTGTTCGTTTTTATATGGGAATGTAATACAATTCCAATTACAAGTGTAAACATAAGTATATTGCCAGCCCATCTCTATCTCGTATCTCTGGGCCGGGACATGGACCCGGACATGGAAATGGAAATGGATATGGACTTCGTTGGCCAGGTTGGGATCATGCTGGACTGGTGGTGCTGGCAACGACCACTTTGAGTGCGGAGCGCAGTGATTTGAAGCTTAACCACCTCTTGGCCAGGCCGTACGATAGCCCGATACCCCGACACCCCGACACCCCGTGTGGCTGTGGCTGTGCTGTGTCTGGGCTCTTGGCCAAATATCGTTAGTGGGGCATACGGCAATTGCAATTGCAATTGAAATCGAGAAGGAGAAAACCAAAACGAAAACGGTAACAAAAACGAAAACAAATTCCCCGAACCGCTCGCAGGCCATCCATTATGCACCGCCATTGAATATTCAATCGGAGGCGAAGGCATCTGGAAATTGATTCGAGTCCGAAAAGTAATTAAAGACCAGGCCACTGGAGTGCTTTAAGATCGAATTGGCTGAATAATGGAGCAGCGATTTTAACTGCATAACATAAATGCGGAACCTTCAATATCTATCGCTATCCTCCCCCAAATCGATCGCTGATTTATCACATATGTATATATATATCGTGCCTAATGTCGTGCATCCCTTTCTGTTTAAACTCTTTTGCAGGTCTTTGCCCAAATTGAGCAGTCAAGACGAAGAAGGGGGGGCTGGTCATGGCTTTGGTGGCGGACCGCAACACTTTGAACCCATTCCTCACGATCATGATTTCTGCGAGAGAGTCGTTATAAATGTGAGTAGAGTCCAGCCATAAAGCAGTAACAACCATTCACCATTCATCCCATTCGAATATCGATTAACCTCTTGCGTCTTGCATCTTATGTACATCCTCACATCAAATACTTATAGGTAAGCGGGCTGAGGTTTGAGACACAACTACGTACGCTTAACCAATTCCCGGACACGCTGCTCGGGGATCCGGCTCGGAGATTACGGTACTTTGACCCGCTTAGAAATGAATATTTTTTTGACCGTAGTCGACCGAGCTTCGATGCGATTTTATACTATTATCAGAGTGGTAAGCATTCGATCCGTTTTCCTGCCTATCCCGTCTATTTCTTCTATGGAACATTCTGCTAATCTCTCTCTCTCTCTCTCTCTCTCTCTCTCTCCTTCTATCTCTCTATCTCCCTCTTCCTGCCTATCTATCCAACTGTTGATCTATCTATCTCTCGGTCTGTCTGTCTCGTCTACCCCACACCGAACCCCGCACCGAACAATCCTTTCACACAATCCCTGCCTTTATCCTATATCCTATATACTCGTACTACCATCCACAGGTGGCCGACTACGGAGACCGGTCAATGTCCCTTTAGACGTATTTAGTGAAGAAATAAAATTTTATGAATTAGGTGATCAAGCAATTAATAAATTCAGGTAAGCCAAAGTCCCAAGCCACAAGAAAACTGCACCCCCAACCCCAAAAATACTAATCCAAAACGAAAATCGAAACCAGCAAGATAGAAATCAGATTGGTGGCACGGCAACTTAATTGAATCAGTGTAATGAGGCATGCAACACGGCAACCAGAACAGAGTGGGGCAACATCAACCACCGCAAAAGGCACGGGGACAAGACAGTCATTTGTCCTACACAATGTAGATATAGTCATAGATATAGAGACGGAAATCGAATCCCAATCTATTCTTCAAGATTGTGCCAAAACCAATAGAGACAATAGACAAAGTAGCAAAAGAATTATCAAACCCGAACAAAACCAAAGCCAACGGCAAGATGAATATTAATCCCCTGACCACGAGCCTACAATTTCATGGATACGGCATGCGGGCAATGTGGCCGGGACCGCGGAGGCGAGGCCAAAAGGCAACCGAGGACGATTAGCCAGCAAATGGAGGACCCATAGACAGAAGGATAAACTTCAATTTAAGCTCTACTTTCAAGCCAATTTTTCTCAATTTAATGCCAATGCCTCGAAGCTTAGCGGAGATACAAAGTTTGTGCCTTTTTGCCAAGCCAGTCGAGAGTTCAGTTCAGTCAGCATCTTTTGCCTTTTAAGCTTGTTTTCTGTTGCGTTTCGATTGGCCTGTTTCCTGCTGCCAAATCCCAAAGAATGCCAAACAAAAATTATAAACGATTGCCACACCAAAACCTAAAAAAAAACACACTCATACACTTACAGTACAGTAGAACAGAGGGAGAAAGTAACTGAATGCCGACTAATGGGGGGGATGATCACATGTCTTTATCTTTTTTGCAGAGAGGATGAAGGCTTTATTAAAGAGGAAGAAAGACCATTACCGGATAATGAGAAACAAAGAAAAGTCTGGCTGCTCTTCGAGTATCCAGAGAGTTCACAAGCCGCCAGAGTTGTAGCCATAATTAGTGTATTTGTTATATTGCTATCAATTGTTATATTTTGTCTAGAAACATTACCCGAATTTAAGCATTACAAGGTGCGTACTCCGTCTACATATGTACATCTGAGCGATCTACTGATCTCCCGATCCACTATCCCCATGCACACGCCCTTTATATCACTCTCTGTGTCTCTCTCTCTCCCACTAGGTGTTCAATACAACAACAAATGGCACAAAAATCGAGGAAGACGAGGTGCCTGACATCACAGATCCTTTCTTCCTTATAGAAACGTTATGTATTATTTGGTTTACATTTGAACTAACTGTCAGGTAGGCGAAACCACTTCCGCAACTCAAATCAACTCCACTCCACTCCATACTCGTACTCGTATTCGTACTCGTACTCGTATGCATATGTACTATAGCATAAGCTAAGCGAACGAAAGAGATATAGAAGTACTAGTAGCACTAGAATACCGATATCTCTCTCTCTCTCTCTGTATCTCTAACTATCCCTATCTCTATCTATACATACATATATTTAACTAGATCTCGCTTATGTATATATACGAATATTGATTGAATTTTGTTTTCTTTCTTCTGTTTACTTCTCTTATACGTATACGCATTCGTTCATTAATGGTTTCCACATTTATGATTTTGATGCCCTCAAACTATCCATCTCTCTCTTACGTCTCCTATTCTCTCTCTTTCTTTCTCCTCTCTCTCGCTGTCGCTGTCGCTCTCTGTGTGTGAATCTTTAAACCAAACCAATCGCTGGTCGTTGTATCGATTATTGTGTGTGTTCAGGTTCCTCGCATGTCCGAACAAATTAAATTTCTGCAGGGATGTCATGAATGTTATCGACATAATCGCCATCATTCCGTACTTTATAACACTAGCGACTGTCGTTGCCGAAGAGGAGGATACGTTAAATCTTCCAAAAGCGCCAGTCAGTCCACAGGTATGAGATTCTGTTTGCCCAATACTCTCTTCTCTTCACTCACCTACACACACCGACACACTACACACTGCACATACACATACACATACATATATATCAAGCACACACGCAGACATACAGTATTTTAGTGTTGCCATCATCGTTTATGAGTTGCCTGACATACTCAAGGGTTGCCTGCCCCCGCCCTTGAGCCCACAACAAAGTCATCCCTTATTTTTCTCTAACATATCGCAACACCGATCGATTACACTGCTTTCACACCACACACTTATCGGTAACATTCTGTGAGGTTATGTTCATTGTTGTGTATCCCCCCATCACCGTATCCCCAATACAATACTAACACAGACGACACTTATACAAAGAACCACGTACCACACACACATCGATCTATGTAAATGATTATCCAACCATCCGTATACACACTCACACACACACATCCAACCCACCACACACATACACACACACACACAGAAACACCTACTATACGTACATATATACTCGTATATGTGTTCATATGAATGTATGCCACCTACTATAAATATATATATATATATATTTCGATAAAATTTTTAGGACAAGTCATCGAATCAGGCTATGTCCTTGGCAATATTACGAGTGATACGATTAGTTCGAGTATTTCGAATATTTAAGTTATCTAGGCATTCGAAGGGTTTACAAATATTAGGACGAACTCTGAAAGCCTCAATGCGGGAATTAGGTTTACTTATATTTTTCTTATTTATAGGTAAGTTCCAAACAGCAAAAACGAAAAAAAAAAAAAAAAAAAAAAAAACCAAAAAAAAACAAAACAAAAAAAATCAAAACTTTGTTATCGATTTACAAGAATTATTCAAACTGCAAAAAAAAAAAAAAAAAAAAATACTGCAAAACGACTGCGACCATCCAACATAGCACAGACAGACTCCACCCCCGCGCCCACTTTCTCTTTAAATGTATATTTCCCTACCGCCCCCACCTCGCTCTCTCTTTGTCTATCAATCTCACTGTCTCTCTGTCTTATTGTCCCCATACACACATACTCGTACATCTATCCAAAAGTTCTGAGAATCGATAATTAAAACAACCACAAAAGATACATATACATATAGTCTATCTCCACGAGAGATCTATCTGCGACGCGAGCGTAAGCCAGCACATTTATGTTAACTGCTCATCACGATCCCCCAAAACCACAATGCCACAATACCCCCACCAACACTTACCGCTAACCCTTACAACACCACATCGGCCAAAGAAATACCTAGGAAAAAACAGCAATAACTCAGACAAACAACAGCAAAAACAAAACACAAAAAAATATATTGAATATAATACTGTGTTGCTTTTTAAGAACTTATCATTTCCGATATTTGATTTGCCACCAACACAAAACTAAACTCTCGATTAGAAAATACGATTAGTAGAACCAGAACGTAAGACTAAGGTATCTTTCCGCCTGGGCAGCAGGCCAAGCAATTAGATAGGCATACTTTCAATCCCATTTCCTCCCTAGCAACCCCTTCGTCCCCAACTCCTACTCTGAACCCACCGAATCACCCCAGACCCCAGACCCCAGACCCAGAACCTTCCCCCACAACGAACACACATAAAAGATTCTCAACGATAGAGATTAAACATAAAACATCAAGCTAAACTAAAGTAATACTAAAGTAAAGTAAACTAGACTTACTATATATAGTCGCACACACTCATACACACACACACAGATAAAAACACTCACAGATACACACATGAATACACAGAGACACGAGCTACAACAAACTAGAGGAAGCGAAGAGCAGCCTAGAGGCCCGTAGAGCCCGTGTATAGCTCACCCATTACGTATCTCTAACTTATTTATTGTCGTCTTAAAACTAGAACTAAGTACATACCTAGGTCAACTACAAGTGATACTTAGCCATCTCTTTTATCCCAGCCAGACCAGCTCAATGCTCCTCCCCTTGCACACACACGCGCGCTTGAAGATATCCGGACGTACATATGTACATGCGAGTATCTCCCCGTATGTCCATGGGATATGTTCCAAACTCTGAAAACTGCAGATGAAGATCTTAGCGAATGTGTGCGTGTGTGTGCATCGAGTAACTATCGTTCAAGTTGAATATGTTCTTGAGTTGAGTTCCCGATTTTTTAGTTTTCGTTCTGTATTTGAATTTTAGTTTTATTTTGTGGCTCTAGCGATAACCAGCAGCAATGTCAATGTACTCGAATTTTAGTCTATTACTCCTGATATACTCTGACAAAGTGCGAAAGGCAAATGTAGTGCGCAATGAAGTCGAAATCGAAATAGATACTGAACGGAACGTATAGCCGCTCGATCGAATCATTTCGCTGTGCCCACAATGCCGCGCTCAAGTCGTTGGCAATTTTAAGGACCTCACGTAATTTGCAAGCAGATGGAAGTTGACTGCTTCCCGTCTACACCTTTCTATGGCTGTGTATAACTTTCTTTCTTCAACCTAAACCTTTCCTCTCTTCTCCTTTCCTTAAAACTTCCCTTTCCCTTTCAACTTCTGCCTGCATCTTCAGCTCTCCTTTACTTCGGTTGCCTGTTAAACTGCGTTGAAAATACCTTAAAATTGGCATACTTCTTGGCGTTCAAGCTGTCCAACCCAACGAAGAGTAGAGTGTTTATCAAGGTCATTGATCGTTGACGGATCACTCAAACAAATAGAAACGAAGAGAAGATGATAAGAAAACCATCTCTATCGAATAAATTATATATATTTTGTATTGTTGTTCATGTTCGCTGTCCACCAATAAAAGTTGTTTGTAATTCGTAAATCGTAAATCGTAAACCGTAAACCGTAATCAGTAATCCGTAATCCGTAAACCGTAAACCGTACTCATCATCAACGTTGTCGTTTCGATGTCCATGTCCACAGACTGTGCCGTGGTTGACTTCTTTTGCTTTTAGTTGATAGTCTCTAGCTTCTAGTTGATAGTTCCTAATTTCTATTTGGTAATTTCCATAGTTTATAGTTTGTTGTTGTATCTGTTGAGCGATTAACGTATTAACTAACCATAACTAAGTATCAGACGAGTATGTCTAATCTCTAGTGTACTATATCTAAACCGACATATGCATAAACATATCAATACCAATAAATCTATCGTTGTCTATACGAACTATGAACATATACATATGTATGTATATATATATATATATATGTATGTATATACAATATATAATGTATCAACCAATTCAATTGAGTTCTTTGTTTCTGTTTCTGTTTTTCGTTGTCTGTCATCTGTTATCTATTTTCTGTTCCGTTCCGTTATGTCTCTATGGGCGAAGGTCCATCTCTAATACAGCCACCTATACGCTGTAGTTAATCGATAACCGGGCCACAATCTGTGATACATAGGAACTGATTATACATATGTACTATACTCTTAATATCCGCAAATATACAGATATTTCCTATAGACATTATTGTTCAATGGTTGCTTTCAATTATTTATGTACCTTCAGTTCTCGTATCATTTGTCTTGCCGTAGTTTAGTCTAAACATACTTATACTTACATATATATGCATATAATCGTGCATCGATCTATAGATATATATATATACACATATATACGTATATGATCAATTACTACCGATATGCCAATAAACTAATTATGAATATTGTATTGTACAGAGTACTTAGCTAGCTCCATGTATCCATTTAACTCTAATCAAACCAAGCCAACTCTCAAACCTAATATATAAATACTACAAACATAGATAATCTTCTGTAAAGATAGTTGCCACCGATCAAGTAGCATTACTAACCACACTCACACACACACACACACACATACACCCTGTATCTCTCTCTCTCTTTATCTCTATCTCAAACACACATACACACACACAATATGTTTGTGGCCTAAAAGTAGGCTATGAGCAGTTCTACCCACTGACACTTCGGTCATTGCCGAAGTTGTGAGCTTTTTCTTTCGATTTTTGTGATATTTTGCAAACATTATATGTTACATTCACACATACACCCACACCCACAGCCATACAGTTACACAAACATACTAATAATACTTACTAATACAGAAATGCCATGCCAAGAACTATCCTAAATCGTTTATTCTACACAAAAACAGAAATGAAATGAAATAAAATAAAATTCCAGTTGCAGTTATTTCTTCATACCTTTTTGTTCCACCTTATCGAATATATAGTTTTCTTTTAATGCACCAGATTTCAATTCAAAAATAACAACAAAAAATAATCATTTACTAACCTATAGCATAGTCTTATGTATATCTTGTAGTTGTTTTAAAAAGAAAATAAACGAATTCCTTGAAAAAGGAGAAAGCACAGGCCACACACTAAATACAAATAATACAATATCTGTGACGGCAATGGTCAGACCCATCCTCCTGTGAGGCCCTCCCTTTCCCAACAGATTCCCAAGCAGAAACGCACAAACTCTAACGATTGTATACTAACGATTGATTAATGATTGATCTCTATTTGACTCGCCCTGAATGAATTGATTGATCGCAGGCGTGGTCCTGTTTTCGTCGGCGGTCTATTTCGCGGAGGCTGGCAGCGACAATTCGTTTTTCAAGTCCATACCGGACGGCTTCTGGTGGGCTGTGGTGACCATGACTACGGTGGGATATGGTGATATGAGGTACAGCCTATGTTTAAACTCCACACGTTCCAATCCAATCCATAATTGTGCTGCTCTGCCATTGCCATGGGCACGTGGTGTGTGCTTACTCACAAGCTACTCTCGATATAAACCTGCTCCTAATCGTTCTCTATCTACTATACATATGTACTCTCTCTCTCTCTCTATCTCTCTCTCTCTCTGTCTATCTCTTTAATCTGTTTGTCTGAGTGTTTGTAATGCAAGTCTGTCTCTAAACCTGCTATCAATCTTTTTTCTCTCATTCTGAAGCTGTATATGTCTTAATGTTTTGCTTTTGTCACCAAATGTACATACTATATATTGTATGGAAGGGCGTCCAAGGACCCACAAAATCGAGTACTCCGATTTGAGGGGCTCTATTACCAAGGCGCTCCACTGTTCTCTCACCCAGCGCTGTACAGTTGTTCCTCTGTATATTGATCGATGTGATTAAGCCCTTCTTAGATGTTGTACTGTGTGATCGCTCGCTTTTATCCTATTCCACTCCACATAGCCCTCCACTCTGTACATAAATCTTCAATACATATATGCATATACGTCCCGTCCCTCATTTTCATTTCATTTCACATCTCAGTTCCGTTCATTCCTTTATGTTTTTTTCCGATCCCATCCCTACCAAATGTTTGGCATGGTGTCTGTCAAACTCTTTCATTCAGTTTTTCGTTCTTCACTCGTCTTTAGTCTTTCGTATTTTACCATGTGTGTTTCTCCCCTCACCACCAGCCAACAATGGAAGAGTCTGAATTAATTTGTATGCCAATTTGGTCCATTGTCTGTCCTGTCGGCATTTCTTCTACCACAAATACTCCTGTATATCACCATATTTCGGGGCCCCCATTGCATTCCAGTGAGAACAATGAGAAGCTCACCAGAACACGCTTCGTAGCTTTGAATTTCTGCTTGGGAATTCCGTCGGATTGGGGATTGCAGTAAATCGCAAATCCTCAATGGATTGTTCACTGGTCCCAACTGGAAAACACTCTTTTTGTTAACCGAAGACAAAACTGCGAAACAGCGAAACCAAAGCAGAGCCAGGGCTACCCACTTGTCTTGCGGCCGCAGCCGAAGAAGCCCTGGCCGTAGACAACAAGAAACATAAAGAATGTAACACAAATGAGCCTCACACCAAAAAAGAAAATAAGAAACAGAAAAGCACACCGAACTCGGACGAGCTTCTGACGGAAGAGACCCCTGACTACTACCCACAACGGACACACTCGAAAATCTCTAAAAAAAAAAAAAAAACTCTTTGGTTAAATGTTTATTTTCAAAAAAAAAATAAAAAAAAATGCAAAAAAAACATAGCAAACAAAAATAAGTATATAATACCAATGCAAAGCAATATTTCTCCCATCAATTTTTTTAGGCGTCGTACTCTTCTCATCGGCGGTTTATTTTGCGGAAGCTGGAAGCGAAAATTCCTTCTTCAAGTCCATACCCGATGCATTTTGGTGGGCGGTCGTCACCATGACCACCGTTGGATATGGTGACATGACGTATGCAAATCTATACAATTCTAACTCTTATGATTACCTTTACGATAACTCCAGTTATGATTATAATTTTGATATCGCTTTAGTTTTCCGTTTCCGTTTCGTGTTGTTCCCGTTCCCGTTCCAGTTCCAATTCCAGTTCCCTTTAACGTTCCTTTCGTTCCTGCCAGGGGCGTGTCGCCGCTCTGGCGGTGTTCCGCCTCCCACTGCCGCTGTTTCTGCCTCTGTATTCTGTACTAATTTTCGCCTACCACTGTTTCGTTATTTATGATTAACCCCGATCCCGATCTCTAACCCCCCGAGCCTAAGCCTAAGTCCTACCCACAACCACTAACTACTGCCAGTTTGATATACGAAAAATACCGAATACGTATTGAGATTAACTGTATATTGCTAACCCCTATATGGTTTTGTAATTCCCGATTATAATACGCAAAAAACCCTAACCTAACTGTTGCTATCTCTTACTTTGACTCGCTGAGCTGTTTGTTTGTATTCTGTATTTGTATTTGTCTATGACAAGTTCTATTTGCCTTTGTATTTGTATTTGTATTTGTCTCTGTATTTGTATTCGTCTTTGTCTTTGTCTAACCAATTGCGTTCCATTCCGATCTGTTTCGTTTCGTTTCATATTTTTCCTTTTGCTCATTTGCGTTCCTGTCTCAATTCCCATTTAGTTTCAATTTTAGTTGATCATTAGTTTCACTTGCGGGGCTCTTTTTGTCCCTCTCCCTCTATCTGTCTCTCTCATATTAATCGATTATATTAAAGCCCTCCGTTACGATCATGGTCGAAGCGGTTGCCATTTGGCCGCCGCCTTCCCATGAAGCTATTCTGTTCTTAATTTGCCTTTATGTTAATTATTTTATTATCACAAATATTAGTGTAACCGTTGTGTCGTTGTTTAGTTTTCACCTAAGAAAAACCAAAAGAAAATATTGATAAATGTATGAAAATACTAAAGAACATACTGAAAAATATACCAAATTTAATCCCATAAGCTCTAAGCTCTCCTCACTCACTGAGCATTGTACAGTGAAGAGTACAGTGCATTCCCATCCATCCATTCTCATCATCATCATCGAAACTAAACACTGGCGTTCCTCGATTGGGGGCACGCACACACACACACACAGACAGCCGCCAGATGGCTGTAAGGATAACGGTAACTTCATTTACTGCTGGAAAACAGTTAATCGAGTTTTGTTCACACCAACACCACCGACAAATAAAAAGTTTATACAGAAAAGGAACAGAAGGAGTACAGTAGGAGGGAAAGACGAGCATGCTGCATGGACCCAATATGTGCCACGTACACCAATACACACAAATATACAGACACATTCTCACGCCCATTCACACACACATACACACACACACACACATACCAACTCAAACACACTCAGACACACAGATACAAAAGTTATTTAGCTTTAGCTGCTGACAAAAAAAAAGCCCAAAAGCCCAAGCCGCCTGCCAAATCGAATTACTCGAACTGCCAATGATCCCATCTCCCTCTCCATGGCCTCCCGAACCATGGCCATCCATCCCGCATTCCCATCCCCATCGATTCCTGTGAGTAGTCTGTCAGAAAGGAAAAGTTTCTGTTACACACGCACCAACTTTAGTTCCACCTCTCTGTCGACGGTTTATGTCTGTCTAACTTCCACCGCCACCGCCACAACCACCTCCACCTCCACCCCCACCCGCAGGCACCTGAGTTTCTCGATCGCACTTGTGCAATAATTATATCTATATAAGCACACAAACACACACACCTCTAGCACTAACACTACCAAAGCTACAGCTACAGCTACAGCAACAACAAGAACAGCTCAGTTGCTGCTTTAACTTCAAACAGCAAAAAACCAATATCCAATCCAATGCGCTACTCCACTCCACGTTCCACGTTCCAAGTTCTAAGTGTTGTGCCATTTTTCGAGTACTTTTTTGGTTTGATCGTTCTCTAGAATAATGCCTACTTACTCGTATATCCTGTATAAACATACCTACCGTACCGTACTACCCATATATCTATATATTTGCCCAAATTTGAATCTCTCTATATCTCCCCATATACCTACCTCATATACGTATACTATATATTTATACAAATATCCATATCTATACCTATACCTATATCTATATAATGCGTAATGCTGTATGATTTTGCAATTGCAAATAGTATGACAAAAAAAAAAGCAAAAAAAAAAGAAACCAAAATAATACCAGCGCAAAATGAATATTAAGAACAAACGAGAGTTTTACTTTACATTTCTTATATATTTGTATTTTCATTTTATTTATATCGTTCGTTCGTTAACATCGCTCGCTTCCATCCAAACAAACAAAATACCAAATTCAAAAATAAAAAAATACAACAACCAACTCCAAATTCTCAATTCAAATCAAATCAAATATAAATCAAAAAACCCAAAAATTAAAAAAAAAAAAATTGCCTAATAACGAACAAAAATATTGCACAAAAATCTCACAACAAAATACCAAATATCAACGATAAAAATCGATAACAACAACGAAATGCAACCCCAAAACGACCGAAACCAAAATATATTATGTATATATGCATTCAACTTGTATCGTTTATCGTTTGACATACGATAACTGCAATCGATCGAATTCGAAATTGATATTGATATTGAAACCGAAACTGAAAATTGATATTGAAACTGAAAATTGATTTTGAAACTGAATTCATGAAATACAGACCCGTCGGCGTTTGGGGCAAGATTGTGGGATCACTGTGTGCCATTGCTGGTGTGCTGACAATCGCACTGCCGGTGCCGGTTATCGTCAGTAATTTCAATTACTTCTATCACCGCGAAACGGACCAGGAGGAGATGCAGAGCCAGAACTTTAATCATGTCACTAGTTGTCCATATTTGCCAGGTACACTAGGTAAGTTCACCCCTCTGTGTGTGCACTCTCTCTGTGTGTGTCTCTCTGTTGTACTCGTAGCCTTGGGCTCGTGCCCATGGCCGTGCTCGTACTCGTTACTCGCTAATCGTTTGCGCATATACCACATGTCCGAAGGGATAACCCACCCCGCCCCCAACCCTCCCCACCAACAACCTACCAACCAACCACAACCCCACATACTACTCAAGTAGAGCAACCAACAAACAACAAAAAGAATGTGTAGAAAGAAACAAGAATTAGAAGCCCCGTGCCGAATAAAAATAGAAACATTTACGAAGAAAGAAACGAATTGTGGGTGGCAGCCCTGCCCTGCCCCTGCCCTGCCGCTTAGGCGCCAGCGATGGCCGGACAGGCTGCCGACTGTCGGCTGTCGGCTGCGTTTGCGACCCAGTGCCCAGTGCTCAGTGAACGCAGGCGGCAACCCTGTCCATGGCAGAGGCAGCGGCTGAGGCAACCCTACAACCAACGTGTGCACGTACTGTGTGTTTTGTGTGTAAGGCAAGAACTACAACAAAAAACATTATTGTAATTGATGCATTACAACTGTATGTGTGATCTCCTCTTTCTCTCTTCTCTCTCTCTTCTTTTTGTTTCTCTCTTTATTCCGTCCAACAATTGTATGGAAAATTTGAATATCGAAACGTGATCTCCAAACAAATCCAAATCCAAACCAAACCATACCATACCATGCCATACCGATCCGAAACTTCCCGAACTGCTCCGCTCCGCTCCCGAATGCCGTGATCTCTTGTCCCACCATCCCGCCATCCCACCATCCCACCAACCAACTCACCACGCCTGCAAACGAAACCAATCACCACAACCCACGACACCCTCCTTCTCCCACAAACACACACACACACACACACACACCACACACACAACCTTGTATGCCACCGCGTGCCGAAAACTGCGTGACAACACACTAAACAATTGACTACAAACTACCAAGTAGGTCAACACATGAAGAAATCGTCGTTGTCCGAGTCCTCATCGGATATGATGGATTTGGATGATGGTGTCGAGTCGACGCCGGGATTAACTGACACACATCCTGGACGTAGTGCAGCTCAGTTTATGGGTGACCAGCAGCAGCAGCAACAGCAGCAGCCAGCATCATCGACTTCGATGTCGATGTCGCTCGATAAGCAGCTCCAGCATCCCCTGCAGCAGCACCCACTGCAGCACCCACTACAGCAGCAGCCGTACCAGCCGCAGCCGCAACAGCAGCAGCATCAGCAGAACGGCTTCAAGCAGCAGTCCACAATAAGCACGAGCGCGGCGGCAACAACGAGTAGCGCCAGCGCCAGCGGCAGTGGCAGCGGCGCCACCACCCTCACCATGAGGCACAATAATGCCCTGGCCGTTAGTATCGAGACCGATGTTTGACTACTGGGTAAGTGTTGGTTAACTCGCTTTCGCACACTCCTCTCACTCTCTATCTGTCTCCCTCCCTCGCTCGCTCGATCGCTGCCCCTCTCTCTCTCACACTCATCCCAGCTCCATTCCCCTGTTCCCGGCCCCATCACTATCTCCCACCTTCCATCTCCCTCACTCCCTCTCTCTCTTACTCTCCAGAGAGAGAGAGAGACTAAGAAGAGCCCCAACTAAATCACTTCCACTTCTCCTTCCTTTTGCACCTCTAAACAGTAGAACCTAACTAAGATAAAGTGTTGCAAAACGCCAAAAACAAATTCTAAAACGGATTGTGCGCACTGCCACAGATTCCAGAGACAAGAGACTAGATACTGGTGATTCCATACAGTGGCAGTGCGGACAACCAATCAAATGAATTGAACTGAATTGAATTCCGATTTGATTAGAACATAACTTTTTCTCTCTTTTCTCTCCACGTGGCGCGCCCTCCCACCTACGCGATATATACTCGTATGTCTATATTTTTACCTATTTAAATCTATCAATACCTTTGACTATGTATGTATGCCTCGTATGATCTGTGTGTATTTTTTACGTATGGGAACCCAAAATTGTATATTGTATATGTACCTATGTATGTGTGATCTGATCTTATGTGATTTGATCTGATCAGTGCGAAAGACGATTAGTGGTATAAAATTGGCCTTGACAAGAGTTATGTTGGATGCCAGAAACGACTACAAAGAAAGCTGTTTGTATTTAATTTAAGTAGAACAAATAACAAAACAAATTTAATCTATGGCTAAATTAATCTAAATCCTAATTTACATTTAAATTACATTTAATTAAATTCTAAACTTAAACTTAAACGTGAACAACACAAAAGCAAGAGCATACCCCAAACCAAACAAACCCAAAAAAAGGAAATCAAGTAAAAATCATCTCGATCAAGGAGAGTGAAACAGTCGAGGGACCCTATATGTACATAATATGGCATACGTACGTACATATAACCCAGGCATTGTCTAACTAAAACTATAAAAACCATAAAGATAAAAGTAAAAGAGAGCATAAACATCGAACGAGCTGGCGGCAGCAGATGATAAGGCCAACATAAACTAAATCAAAGATTTTTCATCTAATTCATTGAATAACAGAACTAGCCCTGCATAATCCGACCTCAGAACTGTAAATAAGTCAATAAATCATTACAAATATTAACACACAAACTAAAAACTAAAGACCAAAAAGCTGATCAAAGAAGAGCACAGAACAGATCGAAGCGCAGCTCGGAAAAAGCATAACTACTGCTTTTCGGGGAACACTTGAAGACAGGCAGTCCGTATAGTATAGGGGGAAGCAGCTAAAATAGACAGAAAGCAGTACAGTGTACAGCTATAAGCAACAAATTCAAGCCAACACAGTCTGTCCAAACCGAAAGCAGTCCGCAGTTCCGATAGAAGGAAAGCAGTCCAGCTAGAATGCAAGCAGTCTCTCCAAGCCGGAAGTGACAGGCATACAAATCACACAAACACAGTCCACTTGCATACACGCCCACACACACACCAACACTGAACTAAAAGTATAGAAAAACTGCCGTAATATTTAACAAACCCAATGTGTATAGTGATTAATCAAAACAAAAGGGAGAAGCATACCAAATGCAAACGAGATTCGATGCAATATCTGCTTTTAAATGTGACAGGAAATATATAGCCTACAAATAGATAACTAACCAACTAACTGAAGTAACTAATCGATAAGCCTAACCACAGCATATACGTGCATTTATATATGTGTATGTGTACCACTAAGACAACAAACACTAAAGACCCTCGGTCCTAGTCGGGATCATCAATCCATCGATTTAGTTGCGAGGATTTTGTTTTTTGACTAAAGCTTCAGGGAAATCTCTAGCCCTCCAATGGCCACCCACACCCACCCTTTCACCCACTAACCAAACCAAACCTAAACTAAACTAACCTACTGAACCCATATCAGCTGACGAACAGAACCTGCGATTCTTCTGCTTCGATCCCCCCGAATTAAATCGAAATAAAAAGTACAAATATTCAACTAAACCAAAAACAAATGAAATTATCATAAATAATACAATATGATTGCTGCAGAGCAAGAGCAATTTTTGTTGTTGTTGTTTGGTGGACGGAAAAAACGACTGTAATTAAACTACAAAAACAAAACAAAAACGGCATTAATAACTAAGCATTAATCCAAATCCACATCCAACGGATATCCAAGTCACAGATCAGCTCAACCGCAATAACAAAAAAAAACATAATGAGAGTAATGGAAAACAAAACAGAAAACGCTCTTATGATTTTATAATAAAACCATATTATATATTTAGAGGCCCAAATGACCGACCATGTTCAGATGAAAAGAGATATAAATTTAAAAAACAAAACCAAAAAAAAAACAACAAAAAAAGGAGAGAAAAATGTTAACTAATTAAAGATGGGCTACTCCCGAGAACCTGCCTGGGACAAGCTCCATCAACTTCTTCAACTGGATTGCATAGGCTGCAAGGACCTCCCACACCTCTCACACCAACGTTCCCACAACACTCATGTACACTTTACACACACACATACATACACAAACATACACATAGACAGAAAAAACGAGAATAAAAAATATATAGAGAATTAAAATCGTTGACTGAAACTACGCAAATTCCAATTTTGCATAAAATGTATAAATAATGAAAAAAAGAAAAAAAGAAAAAAAATTTATATATACATATATATGAGTGTGTGTTAGTAGATACATATACATACATATATAAAACCTGTATATAAAAAGGAACCAGCCGTTGTATATTGAAGAAAAAAAAGAAGAAAACCCAAACAAAAAAAAAGAGTAAATTTTAAAAGCTTCGAAAACCGTCCACGCACACATACAACATTTACATACACACAAAGATCAGAATGGGGGGAATGGAAATTAGCGGGGAGAGGGTTGAGGGAAATGCAACTAAAGGAACACTAGCTCTGTAGCTAATCCCACACCCCCTCCGTCGATCCCACTGCCAGCCACTGCCCTCTCCATCTCCCATCTCCCATCCGATTCCATCCGAACCCATACCTTCGCCAATCCAACCCTGGTTCCCCGATCCCCAGTTAACTGCAATACAGAAGAAGAGGCTAACCGAACAATAACACTTTTCCAAGCGCCGCAGAGGGCCCCGGCCAAGCAGGCAGGAGCGATCGAACTCTGTGTACAAAAGAAAGGCCATCTCTCGGCTGCAAGCTAAGCTTCAGCCCGAGTCCGAGTCCGAGTCCGAGTCCGTGTTCGAGTTCAAGTCCGTGGTCTACCCTACCCGTGGTTCCCCTTAGTAGTAGGGTCTACCTATAACTGCTGTAAATACTCTCCAAGCAAAGCGGAAGAAAGGAACATAAATCATCAATGAACGATCCTGCAAATGCTTTTTTGTACAAAACAAAATCTTAACAACTACTCTATAATTATAAAAAATAAATAAGTTATAATAAAACAAAGAAGAACAATGAGAAAAAAGCTAAGAAAACGAAACTATGAATCCGAAAGCAACACACATGCGAATGTCATTTAGTTTTTCTGTATTTAGCCATACCAGAGTCCTTGTATCTGTAGGAAATAGGAAGGCATGTTGAGGAATGAGAATGAGAGAAACGCAAACACCAAAAGGAGAATAAGGAGGAGAGTAGAGGGTGAAGGTGAGAAGATGGGAGCAACAGGGGAAATATGGATAAAACGAAACAGATCCGCTTAACTAAGTTTAGACTATGATTTAGGGCGGGGCAGAGGAGAGAATTTTAGCGTAATAGATACAAGATACCAGATACAAAATACAAAATACCACATAGCAGATAGCAGATACAAAGGGCCGAATGTAAAGTAAGGTTGTTTTTTTTCCTAGCCTTAATCTAGACAATTGATTAAATTTAGCGAACGTATGATAATTGTAAATGAGCCTAAGGATTTCCAATGTATAGCAGGACATAGAATTCGCGTTTAGTTTTATTCTTGTGATTATGATTCTGATTATACGTTCATACTCGTAATATTCTTTTCCTACATCTTAAGACTTTGATTTAATCACAAAACTGAGCCACTAAAATTACCTTAAACACACACAAAACAAGCAAAAAAGTAAAAAAACAAAACAAAACAAAAAAAAATACATAAATAAAGCAAAGAAAACAGAAAAACAAATTGTGTTAATATTTACCTATGAACGCTTAAAACAAACCCAACAACAAAGCAAAGAAAAAACCAAACAAAAACAAAAACAAACAAACAAAATTTTGGAATAAATGTGTTCAACAAAAGAAATGTTATTATATGTTTAAATAAATTACAATTAAAATTAATTCGAGATGGACAAACATTTAATGTAATTAAATTGAGTACACGAGAAAGATTCTAAACAATTTCAAATTGTATATATAGAAGCATACACATAGCACATAGCCTAACACATAGATACATACATACACACTCGTGTGCTGCAATCGAGTCACGAGGTAGCTTACACCACAAGAACCCTAGAATACACTCGTACCCAAGAAATTCCAGACACGTTTGTATATGATGCAGCATACTCAAGGCGAGGAGCACCCCAAAGAAACCCCAAAAACAGGAAACACAAAAAGCAATCTGATCCGAGCCGATTCGATCCGAGCTGATCTGATCCGAACCCTTCTGATCATCGTCCCTACCAAAGAACTAAAGAAGCGAAACCGATATTAAAGCAAGAGATTCACTAGAGTTCTTGATGTAAATACGTGTAATCCTAGCTAACATGAGTACTGTACAATACATTTCGTTTGCCAGCATTCCGTACCCGTATCCGTACCCATATCCGTACCTGTACCTGTACCTGTACCCGTACCCGTACCCGTACCGTATCATTCTGTTCATTTTTCAATTGTATTTTGGAGTAGTTTTGTAGCTAGTCCAACCAAAGTGGAATCAGAAACCGTAACTGTAACTTTATCAATCTTAATTAGCTTGAAAGAAATGGCTGTAATGTATTCTTAGTTCTGTAATTCAGTAATTGTATGGCCTGAAGTACTCAACTTTAGTCTCGTCTTTGGCATATCACCCACCACAGCAGGTAGCAGGCAACAGCAGCAGCAGCAGTTGAGGTATTCAATCAATCAGTATATC